AATAGCCGGGTGGTAATATTTGTTTAGGTAATGATGTACGTTTAAATTTATGATGAATTACAGAACCATCATTTACCCGATTACTTGTTTTGATTTTGACGGGCAAAGGCGCGTGTCTACCCTATCTGAACGGCTGTTCTACAGTCCAAACCGTAGTTTGGATTCTACACTTATGGCATTGAACATTTATATATACTTTTAGTATCGGAACTTAAAAGTGTATGCGGTACTCCATATTTTGCTGAAACACTAGATCAGTACTAAGGACGGGCGTTATTGTACTACTGAGGCTCATTTTTTTTGTACATTCCAAAGGTGGTAAGTTCTGAACAAAAGTCGGAAGAATACCTTTCAATGTTGACAGTTAGCCCGTTTTATCTATAAAAAGCCGAACTATTGATTGCAGTTTATCTTTATTAAGATCATGAAACAACGGTTAGAGTGCGAGGTTCTCTTTTCAAACACGCGCACTATGCTGCAAATGTCATTAGACAGCCAGTCAATTCAGATGCTATGCTCTGTGATACATTGCCCCTTAATCCAAATAATGTTCCCTTATTCTTCACTTCTTGTTATGTTGGCCTAGGAAACTCTGGGCTATAAGGGATTCTGGATATCAGCCTTGTCAAGTTCTAAATATCCATGACCACCTCAGGTCACACAGAAGCAAAAATTGGTTATTAAATGTTTGCGATACTAGTTAATAACGAATAATATCACAGGTTAAAATTTGGTCCAATAATGCTTTTCAAACACTATGCATTCAAAAGTTCCCCTGATACAAAATAATGTACTGCTACTGAATATGACTGTTAAGTATACAAGAGTCAACAAGAATATCGCATACATAACAGATCAAGATTTTGCTTGTAAGAGTTACGTCAAACAACAAACGTATCTAACACTACTAAAGAGCAGGCTGAATCTCCCCGACCTAAAAGTCATGACTGGGGACCACTGGTGGATATGGATTACTTGATCACAATTGAGTTGCTGGAATGATGTACAAACCCGTTAATGATCTTGACTGGAAATTCATGTCCTATTCCGTAATGGAACCAGTAGAAAAGACTGCATACCTTTATTTCAGGAATCAGTAACACTAAATGGTGGTATTCCACTCCAAATAATAGCTCATTTTCATAACACAGTATCAGTATACCAAATAAGTCATAAATATTACCAATGAAAGACGAAAGACCGCCTAAGCAGTGTAAAAAATTGTCTCATGTGTCCATGAGAAAAAAATTAGAGGCAAGATGTCATGTTTTAAGATAGTTTACAAAAAGGAACGAGGTTTATTTGACTGTATACAGATAGTCAATATTATACGGAATTCCTATGATGGATTAAACTGCAAAATCGTGAAAGGAGGACGCCTGACGGACTCGTTCGAAGTAAAGACCGGTGCCAGGCAAGGTTGCTTACTCTAACCTTTTCTATTCCTCTCAATGATCGACTGGATCATGAAGACATCAACATCTAGGGATAAGCATGGGATACAGTGGACAGGTAGGATGCAGCTGGACGATCTAGACTTCGCAGATGATCTGGTTCTTCTACCGCACACGCAACTATAAATGCGGAAGACGACCAGTGTAGCAACAGCCTCGGCAGAAGTAGGTCTCAACATACACAAAGGTTTAAACACGATACAACACAGTATGTACCAATCGAATCACACTTGACGCAGAAGATTCGGAAGATGTGAAAACATTTACATATATGGGCAGCATCGTTGATGAACACAGTAGATCTGATACAGGTGTGAACGCGCGGATCGGCAAAACAAGAGCAGCATATCTGCAACTGAAAAACATCTGCAATTCAAAACAATTGTATGTGCACCAACACCAATGTCAGAATTTTCAATACAAATATCAAGACAGTTCTACTGAACGGGGCGGAAACCTGGGGAACTACAAAAGCCATCATCCAGAAGATATAAGTGTTCATTAACAGTTGCCTACGCAAAATACTCCGGATCCGTTGACCAAACACTACACTATCAGCAACAACCTACTGTGTGAGAGAACAGATCGGATTCCAATGGAGGAGGAAGTCAGAAAGAACTGTTGGAAGTGGATAGGACACACATTGAGGAAAGCACCCACCTGCGTCACAAGGCAAGCCCTAACACGAAATCCTCAAGACCAAAATAAAAGAGGAAGACCGAAGAACACATTACTCCGTGAAATGGAGACAGACATGAGAAGAATGATTAACAGTTGAATAGAACTGTAAAGGAATGCCCATGACAGAGTGGGTTAGAGAATGTTGGTCGGCGGCCTAGACTTCATTGGGAGTAACAGACGTAAGTAAGTAAGTTCTGCGTTCGAACCAAATATTAGTATTTCGGTCTTTACAATGATAGTAGTCGAAATGTTAAATAAACAGTTAGACTTCTGATGAAGATTTGTTCTCTGAGTTAGATGGCTTAGTCATGGAGCTTTCACCGTTTGTGCTGATGGCGTCGTTCAAAAGAACCATGAAGGCTCCACTACTAAACATACAGCTCAGAGAGCGAAATTCAATCAAAGTCACTTACCCGAGTTACAAATCTTCTCCACCATCTCAAAACTGCTGGACATTCATCTTTTTCTCCTAACCTGACGGTACTCGCCGGTTTCGCAAACAGTTATGGCAGTGGATGAATTTGATAGAATAACATAGATACCTAAGCATCGGAGAATTCTTCGGACAATAATTGATTCTAACGCGACTCATGTTGCCGAGTATCTAGAGTAAATAAGCCGACTCTGAAACATTAATTGATGTAGACAACTGAAAAAAGATTACAACAGACTCAGGAAAACGCAACGGTCTACAGTAAAAGCATCTCCCGAATGTTTTATTTGAATTCATTAAGGATGAAAGTTAAGGATTAGAGGCTGAAATGCTTCAATCTTGGTAACCCATAAGTTGATTCTCAAGGAAGACAAGTCGTATCCAGTATGCAACCAGTATTTAATGGATCAACACACAAACTCTTGTGGTTCACACAAATGATCACTTAATTCGACACTATGGGAACCCATCAATTACGAAAATATGACGTAGAGGGAGCGTCGATTTGGAAACTTCCCTCTATTTTCAAGGAATATGTGATCACGATGTTATGATCAAATACCTAAAGATAGCATCCTCTACATAATACAATGCATAACCACACTGGAAGATTTTAATACTAGTTTTTTAGGTTAATCTCACCTAACTAGAAATGTCAGCAACAAGAAAAAAGCTGACAAAAACTAGGAAGTTTCGACATAAAAATTAACTATAAACACAAAATATGTTCTTGTGGCAATTGTTTCAAACAAATTACTCTTCCTATACATTAACGCTAATAGTACACCAAAGTTACTTGACGCTGCTTGTAGGAGAATAAATAAAGCCGAACAAGTCACGTCCTCGAATCACAAAACTTCTTCAAGAAAAGCAGGATACAGTAGAATGGCTAAATGAATATAAGAAGTGGAAGCATGCATACCCTCATTATACGCAAGTTACCTAATATTATCAAATACATTGCTCCAATTCATGTTTATGTAACAAATGTTTGGCAGGAGCTGGATGTGAATGACAATGTACGTTTCCCGAATTTCCTCACTTGCCAGTGTAGCAGGGAATATCTCCATGCTTAAGGAGATCCTGGTGAAATTCACTTGACAAGTCGTCGACTCCAACTAAAACGACCTAAGAGGTTCACTATGTCATGACTCATTGCAAGTACTTAGATAAACACCATACATTCGTACCTTACTGAACAAGTCACAAAATGAGCGTCTTTCATATTTTAATATCTTTTACTGTTACACAATAAACCAAAATAGACATCAGTTGTGCTTTATAATTATCGCCCTGAAAGATTTCATAGAAACTGTTATCAAAGGCCTAAAATCTAGAAGCAAATTCACAACACCAACACAGCAAACATTTATAAAATGGAATTTATTTATCAATAAGCTGCTAAATTCTAAACCAATAAAAGTCTTTCAACATAACATATTTTTTCATCCGAATTAAAGTATTATATTCAGAGGCCACATTAATTCGCAACAACTTTTATGGTCCCGACAGACTCGTGGTTAGATTCATAATAGAGAATACTAAATTCAGTACAAACTCATTCTTATACTGGAATTGGTGGGATAACGAGGCATGTTGATGCCCACAACAAAAACTTGAAAAACAAGAAAAACGACAACAAAGATAAAGATCTGAATGTGTGCAACACAATGTTATGAAAATAAAAAATGTCGTTTTGTGTAATTAGTACTGACTTAGGATAAAATATAAAATAGGATTACCTGGTGGTTATTGAAATTTGAAGATAGAATAATGATAAGCGACCTAAAATTTACAAATTTATTCCCAAAGTAATGATCACTTCGAACCTACCACAGGAAAATTTAGTCTCTCATGATTAACTTCATTCACTATAAAATAGAGTTAAAATGGTTCAAACGGTTTTGGACAGAATAGAAGAAGCTTCCACTTAATGCGCTTCTGTATTTAGCGGCAGTGGATCATCGATAACTCCAGGCAGGAACCTGGGTATATTATTGATAAAAGAGGAAAAGAAAAAATGCTGGCAAATCATAGTAAGATTCTACCCTTAATCCTTAAGAATATGCCGAGTTTTCTCTTGAAGGACTTCTGGGAAGTAGCTTGGACTATCTCAGCTGGCAGAGAATTTCAGCAATTGATTACTTTTATGGAGTAAAAGATATGTCTACAGTACGTTTTGCGGTGCTAGTCTCCAGTTTCTGGGTCCTTACCCTTAGGTTTGTGAGCGTAATAGTTACCACACAAAATAATATCAAATAATTTCGTCTTTCTGTCCTTAAACCGGAAATCAGATAAAATTAGAGAGTCTATTTGTTATAGGAGTTGTTTGTTTGCTTCGACCTTGCAAGTATCAACTTTGTAAATTTGGTTCAAAACCGATTGGTGTGTGAGTGTGGGTTCATTTTTGTGGATGGTTCTCTTTTCGTTCAATGATAATAAGTGTTAAAAGTGTAAGTCACTAAATAGTCTGTTTAATATTATTGTATTTTTCAACACAATCGCTTGCATTCGTACGGAAGTGCACTTGGGATAGAAGTTCTAACAGCTACATTCAAAAACTGTCTTATTTAGAGGTTTCAAGTAATACAATAACAGTGGTTTCACTAAGACTAAGCTCTTCAAAGGCAAAAGAAGTGCGGCTTTATTTCACAAAATGAAAGTTACATAGACAATGAAATGAGTTTCTGTTGCACTGCAGAGTCAGTTAGTTTAAGAGAAACAATAATGTACTTTGCCAAAGTAACAATACTTTGGCATCGAAATTGTTAAGAAAAAGTATCTTTTTTGTATAATTGTAACATTCGGGTTTGAAATGTTATTAATTAATTAACCAGGTACAGATTCGTGTATTTCGCTGAAAGCTACACTTCAGGTGTAAAGTTTAAAGATATTACCCAGCTGCCCAAAACAAAGTAGAGGAAGCAGTTTATAAACTTGCGACCTATTGGTTAAGATCCAAACCAATGGGCCGCTGCTTTAGAAGAGATGAGACGCTATTGACGGTAGTATTTTGAAAAGCTGGTTTGTATCACATTGCCGATATGCAACATATGCAGTATCCCAGACATGCTGGCCAACTAAACAACATAATACTCTGTTTCCCTCGTCCGGCGTACTATCTTTTCCACCTGACACGACTAACTTACGAGTCAAGATATTTTTGAAGTTACTTTTGTGAATTCATAGTGTTATGAAGTCATTTACTTTATCAATCCCAGCAAAGTAGCTACTTTTGAAAATAACGAGAATGTAATGATGTCATTCTAATTTTACTGTTCATCCATAGAGATTGCGTAGCGATCTTTTCATGTATATTTAACCCCGTATGGTGACTTTCGTTTCCAAGCCTTGTACGTTGCTGAAATAAAATAAAAAGTCCAGTTGATGCACGAGACAAGTGAGCACACACAAACCTAACTGCGCATTATAGTCTTATTGAGGCGTTTCGTTTACCAACAGAAATTCAATTTTTTAAGCTTTTCCTCATAAAGAGGTACTCCATACAAGTGTTGGTTTTTCTGACAACAAAAGCGACAATTATAAAAACATTTTACTTGTTAACCAGGAAGCTCATTGATTGGGTTCAGTAAACCCTGCAATATGAATATCTTTATTTGATACAGCAACAAAGACAGCATAGTAATAATATTAAGACAGAAGTTTTGTCGGTGTCAATACGATTAGATTTACCAGTCATTTCTTATGGAAAGTAATATTTGAAGATATAAACCATTCAGGTTTCTCTTCTGATGCACGTCATATGTCAGTGCGACCTTATGTTGCCTGAATGGTTTTTTACTCAGTACAATCAGTTGTGATAACAGGTGATTTTAGTTACGGCAAAAGTTGTCTACCAAAAAGACAGGTCAAACTTACAATTTGATAACTACAATAAGTGATGAGCGTCTCGAAAAGGATGCTTTGTTGAGTCTACTCGTTTAGTAGTTCGGTTTAATTTACTGTTTAGCAAAGAAAATAATATTTACATTCCGTTGGTTTATTCATCTATTTTACATGTGATTTTCCGACATGTGGTAGACTAGTAAAACCGTAAAGTTCACACAAATCTAAATTGCTAGTAAGAAGCAAAACATGGAAATCAAAAGGTTTATCAAAATCCTTACTGAGCTAAGCAAATAATTAACCTGATTATTTTCATTTTCAAGCTGCAGACTGGCTAGAAGGTGGAATAATCCTTTTAGGATTCATGAAGTCAGTTCACATGACTACTGGTTTCAGACGAGCATTGTCAGCGTTCATTTGTTTAGTGACAGGTCAGGTTGATTGATTTCCGATTGCTTGGATTATAAGAGGAGCAGTGGCCAGTTCACCATCAGTTTTGCTGTTCATGCGTTTAAAAAACAAGATGTTTCTGAGCATTAACCTTTTTACTTCTTGCCTCAGGCTGATTTAAACGAGTTCTTTAAAATAGGCTTCGTCTAAATGTCAGTTGGAACCTTGCATAGAAAATGAAACTACGGGTCCTCAAAATCATGACATATGTTAATTAGAAATGCTCGACAGCTTGGCTTTGGCGTTCCACACTGTGATCTGTAGATACGTCTACTATATTCCCTGGCCAGAAACCGATTTTCATCATTAATTACTTCTCTTGATTTTCCTCTAATTTCACGTATTGCAAGGTAAACCACCGTACATTGCTCTGTCTCGTTTTTATCTCAAGAACTGTTACTCTACTGAATGTTTATAAATGTCGATGCTAATTTTTTTGGATTAAATAATCATCGTCAAAAACAACCACTTAACCACTATAATTATATCATTGTATCCCTATGTTCGTAAAATGTTCTCATATAATCTGTATTCGTTTGTCTGTATTCTTGGTACTATTTTATCTAGACGAATAGACGCCATGTGTCTAAAAGATACCTGAGGAAGTAGTTAAATACTTTGGTAAGTAAAATGTTTCATTTTTCCGAGTTCCTAACTTGGAATGCAACCGTACTCTGCGAAAAATCAACTGTTCCATCATTTCATGTCGATTTAGAACGCAAAACAACACCTCCAGAATTTTCTGCTGAAACAGTGATCAGGGTGATTAACTTGATATTACTAGTTTAAATAAGATCATTCAAATAAATGTTTTATCTTGTAGCTTGGAACTTTGTCGTGCAAGTTGTAGTTCACTGTTTTGATCGCTCAGTTCTCGATTGCTGTCACTCTGTTTAACATACCAAAGTTTAAACAACCAATTAATATCGTTATCTTCCGGAAAATCCTTGTGGTTTATTGTTTTTTAAATTTGTTGCTAAGTAGTGATTCTATAATAACCTAACGTTTTCTGTTTATCCCATAAGACCACACTTTAGATAACCTAAATTAGTCATTACTAACTGTTGTAAAACCAAAATGTATTAGGGTTCACCCTTCAAATCCTACACAGGTTGAACTTTCTTATAGTAATGCCTAATACATTCGTATATCAAAGTCAATGAAAATAACTTCCTTAAAGCTAAATCCTGCGGGAAGTCATCTCAGTGTTATAATTTCATAGTTCATAACTTTAAAGCCTTTCACTATGATAACCCACACCTAAAACTAATGCTTTTTTAAACTTTTTAGGGCCGTTGTCGTCCATGGAATCACCTGAGAAGCAAACTCCCAGGTCTAGCAATGCATTTAAAAACAAGCCTGGGCGAGGTCGAACCGCCTCACACGTCAAGAGGTCTAATGATAGGACAAGTCGTTCAATGGCTAGTAGACGTACATCTGTAAACTCAAGGAAAAAAAGTAATCCCAAATGTAGTAGAGGAAAAGCTTATGCTAAGGTGATTACTATGTTTAAATATTCAGTGATGTATACACTACAATCGCCTAGTAACTACAATCAACTAAGCCAGTATGTTTTTTGTTTGCTGGAACATTTAATGGAACTCAGTGAGTAAACATTTTCTCACCTCAGAATGAAATTACGTTTGTATACTTAGAAGTCACGTTTTACATAGTCGCCAAAATCGTTTGTTTCGTCTGCTCAGATGGGTATTACCTAGAGAGAATTTAACGACTGCGATAGACATTCGTCTTAGCAATCCCCTCTCCAATTAGAGAGAAATTGATGTCATATGGTGTACGGGAGCGTAGAATTTCCTACTTATCAGTCAACCAGTAGGCTGCAGGTCCAACCCTTTCCCTACTTCATTTGAAGCAGTCAGGTATTATAATCAGCTTTTACAAAACCTATTTGACTCAGTCAAATACCTTTACCTGGTAAATGAATTACATCATTGTTTTTACCAACCGGTTCCAAATAACTTACTCCAATATGTAATGCTCCCATCTTATTTTTATCTGCGAATAATTTCGGCTGTTAAAATGCAATAAATTTTCGCAAGATCTCGCTTAAATATTGTCGCTTTTGAATCAGATGTTACTACACTATGACTTCAATTAGTCATTCAGTTTCGTGGCCCATGAACATTGGTGAACGTCACAAATTGGATCATTTCATTACTTTTTTAGTATCGAAATCAATGTATTCATAATCCCTATTGCATGTAAAGTTATGTTCTGGCTTTACTTAACCCTGAATTTTACGATTTATTAATTCTTAATGATTACATACCCTTGTTTATTGCTGCAGCCCGTTTGCAAAACTTATAAGAAATGACTATGTGATTCCTAACCATGGAAACTCAACTATCTATTCAGCTTACGATCTCACGATCTATCTGAAAGAGCAAAAAATAAGTACATATGGATCTATTCACCGAAAGCTGAATAACAAACATCAACTGTCTTACATGACGTGTATATGTTATGATACAAGACTTTGTAAGAGTAAAATCAGTCATTAACTGTGGCATATGCGGAAATAAATAGTCATCGCAAATGTTTTTGTTTTCACATTTGAAATTATCAGCTTAATTTTTCACATACGTATTCACTTTTTTTCCGCCTAAAATTGTGTAAAATGTGATTGTTGTCAGATTATATGCTGAAAATTCTGTTCTGTACCTACGCCTTTTGTGACGAGGAAGATGATTATTATTTACTAATATTTCAATCAGTGAAGATATTCTTGGTTGGCTTAACATCCGACGAAATGATGTATGCTAAATCACATATCTAAGTGTTTTTTAAGTGCTCTCAGTTATCAGAACTTCGTTATACTTAATCGCACTACCTGGCTTCAATAGCACATTTTGTTGTCAGTAAATATAATCAGTCTTATTGAAGCCGCGTTTATCGCCAACTGAAAGTGACCAGTTCAAGCTAGTGCAGAAGTGAAGCGTGCTGGCTGAAAAATTATACAGGTTAACGTTGCAGCGATAAAACCAAGAGTATTTCAGACTAATCCGACCACTGTACCTTGCGATACAGGATTCTGCGCTTATTCTATGCCTTATTTCCCTTAAAGTCAAGTTACCTGAATGTCAAATATCTCCCCATACGATTGATATTCATTTATTTTTTTCATTTTAGTTTACTTACTATACTTCAGTGACCCTGGCAGTTATGCAGAAATGCAATAATTCATTTGGTCACAACTTTTTATTTTGAACTCATTGGGTATGTCTCGGGAAAATAAGGAAACTGAGTATATAGATCGGTTGTTTATCAAGCCCATAATGCTTAAGTGTATATCCTTTCGATTTAGTAGTTAAGGTGTTCGACTTTCCGCTGCCAAGTCTCGGATCCGAACCTCATTCCACCTTCAGTTTGGGTGATAGGATAGTATCACTGACACCAAAGTACCCGGTGAATGAGTTAATTGTTATCATCACATCTTTCTGGATACTATTGCTACTATTCATGTCAAAGCACAAGATCTTTGAACTGTATTAAAGAAAGTAATTTTCTAGCATTGAATGGTAGCAAATTAGACTCACACTTTTCTTTTTTGTAGCTTATTCAAACCAAATCTCAACGCAGAATCCCGAATGGTCGTATTGCTAGCCGTTCTTCTGCTTTGTACAGGTTAAAATGCAGAACTTCACAGGCTGTGTATGTTAATAAACGACCATATAGGCGTCGTATTCCAAATGTCAATTCTCAGGCAAATACTTCAAATACTTCACCACAAACTAACTCTGAGTTTGGTATCATTCCTAATGATGAAAACCCAGTTGAGCAGGTTCAATCGGTCAGTTGTTCCAACAGAACAACAGGTCTTAAACGAAAATACACTCGGCGCAATTCATCTTCAAGATTTTCTTATACTAGAAAACCCAATGCTAGAAGTACGCAGTCCAACTACACTAACTCAATTGTTGATTTTAATAACTTGGTTAAAAAACAGGAAGCATTTGTACGGGCTTTTGCTATCCCAACACACTTGTATAGATATCTTTCCCATCGTCATCGTGATCGTCCGTTATATCTGGACCGTACTCTCAGCTATTTGATGCCAAATCCATCCCGTAAACAGTCGTCTGGTAAGTTAAAATCCCCACTGTATTAGCTTCTTAGGTCTGCATAACAAGTGTGTCTAAAATTTGATTTCAATTTATTTTAATAACCGTAATCGGCAAAGCGACTTGCCAGCTTAGACACTGAATAGCTAATTTCAAAATAAAGGAATAAAATCCTGCTGAATACAAAGTTACGAATCTTTTAGTATATTTAATATGTGGCTAGCAGTGGAATTTAGGAGGCACATTCCCTCCCATTTGAAATTTGTCACCTCGATGTGTCTCCATTCCAGTCGGAATGTTCATATTGAAACTTAAATCCAGTATCTTTCTCTTCAAACACTGACGCGTAATCCACCGATCTACTGAGTTGATGTAACCACGAACTTGTTCAACGAGCTTAAATCTATCACGAAGGGTTTGTAATTTTCCGTTGTTAATACTCAGAAGTAGAACTACTCAATCCTTTTTGCCTGATCTGTTTTCCCAACGAGTTGTCTCTATATAGCCTGTAATTACAAGTTTTAGCATATTTCATATATGGTTAGCGGTGAACGAGTTATCGAGTGATACTACCCTACTGCCTAAACCGAAGTAAATGGAATTTAAACTAGAGACCTGTTTGGTATGAATCCCGAGTCCTTTAACCACAAAATCACCGCCCTCATAAAAGTTATAACTTTCCTCACATTTGTTTTTGGCAAAAAATATGACAACCATAACCATTAAGTATTTCGATCAACTTGTAGTTTATTATTGATCTAGGTTCACGTCGAAGCATAAACAGAATTGTAGAACGTCTAATTGAAAGACGAAAAGATTGCAGACAGAATGATGAATCGAAGGATTCCAGTAAGTACTCAGAATCCATTTCGTCTTCCTCTTCAACGACTCCTGGTGAATTGCCTCAAGAATTAGAACTCGTTTTTGAAGGCTTTTACGATAGTGAAAAAGAAGTGGATTGGGTCACCGTGGACGTAAGTGCATTGTTTTGTGTTGAATAGTATCTCACTTATTGTTGTACAATTCCATTATACAGCGTCGGTTTTTAATTTTTTTAACCATTCATTTAACTTTATAAAAATTCTACCTGGTACACATGTTTATGTAACAAATTCTTCAGTGTTTAAATTAACTGGATAATAAATCTTTTGATATCCTTCAAGTCAATCAGTCAGTCGTTTGCAACACAGAATCTGGCACATATGTATATCGGCCCAAGTTACCCCATCTTATAAGCATAACAAGATGAAACTATAATGACAAATACCAGAGTAATTGAAGTAGTAACAAAAATATCAGTGTTAGTAGCAAAACACGTTAGACATTGTCCGTATACTTTGAAAACGAATGAATGAATTCACAGAATAAAACTATGAAATAATTTCAAAAATTCGAAATCTAATGGGTAAAGAGTATTATATGCATCTGCACCATTTAGAGTTGCTTCTAAACCATATTAACCAATTCATCTACAAATATTCTGTAAAGAGAGTTAGTTACTAGCAACGACAACTAGTGATCCTTGCTTCCATTCTTCATACTAATTGTGGATTAAAATAAAATTTATTAGTTTTATGCATACACGTGAGTTTATGACTGAAAATTTTTTTCTAAAATTGAAAGCGAATTATGTGAAACTAAATAGTCTTAGTTTTTTTTAAGCCAATAGTGTTCATCATTGATCACTTTCAAAGTTAAATTCAACAGTTTTCATCCACTGTTCGCGAGTATGAATTTGTGTTTTTATAGTTTTAGTAGTCCTGAGTTAAACAATAATTATTGTGTATTCATGCTCTTACTTAAGGAGTGAGTACACTGTTTTACTTTATGGTTGTGGAACGTGGTATTTGAAAGTAGACTTTATTCGTGAATTATTAGTATTTAATTACAAGTATCTTTGATCCGTTACTCACATTGGTGAGGAAATATCGAGTGAGCTTAGATCAGTTAACATAGATAGCAAATCAGTTAATAAAGCTTTGAATCGATTTTTATATTGATGAACTAATCAACTTCTATCGACATGTAATCTCGTAATAGACACCTCTATAATATCTATGTACTATCTCTCCATTGGTCAACAGGATAAATTAACCAAAATGCCTAGATTTATTCATTTCATTTAAAGTGTTAAAAACATGGATAGGGTGAAATTTAAAGCTGTTGGGTAGTTTAGCAATTCGAAAAAAGCTCAACGCTTGTGATTATAATGAGAATTATAAATTGTTGCACATAATCTCTACGTAATAAAGTCGAACAATTAAAGGACATATGGTCTTAGAATGTATACAGTAAAATTAAACTACGCACACTCAATTATCCAAACTGAACTAAAATTTCTTTATTTATTGGTAGTATCAGAAAGGTTTTGTATAATTAATGAATAGCTTTTACTAGTAATTGACATTAATAAGCCATTCAGAAGTATTTACCACAAAACAGTTATTTTATCACTTCCTAGTTCAAGTTTAGTTTTTTACAAGTGGTTCGAACAAAAATTTGTTTTAATTATATATAGTGAAATGATAAGGCATGCTCATATAAATTCGTTATTGACCTTGTTCGTATTGTCTTTTTGTTGGTTAAATCGTAGCAGAAATGCAATTGGGGTAGTTTGTCTTAAAGTGATGAAATCATATCACATTCACACCATTTTATCATCGCGTCCAGTGCTGGTTTCCATTTCTTATGTAATTACTTAAGTTGCTTAAGCCTGTTACTCATGTCACTATAAGGTAATCATGTATTTAAGTGACTTAGTTTTAAAATAGTCAAATAACGACATCTTAACCTTTTAAAATCTAAGCCACTATATTACATTGTTTGACGTTGAAAAAACTAGTTGTACTGTGCTTTCGGATATTAACACTAGCTCTCACACAAACTCTGACTTAAAGCCAAGTATATATGTGTCAACCATGTGTACCTGTTGTGACTGGCAGATTCAGTTTAAATAGGTAAATGAAGTCCAGTGAGAAGTTAACTATGTAATTCTTCCAGGACTCCGTCTGTAGCCCTTCTGGGGTTACTGTCGGTCCCAATCCCGGATAGAAGTGGGGGGTAGGGCATGTAGTCAGCAACCCTATCCCGTAGAAAACAGCTTTGGTAAAAAAGGCTAATCAGAATAAATCATCAAAACCATTTAAACTGTCCTGGAAGTTAAAGTATCTTATTTAGAAGAATTATGACATCTAATGGTGAAAGTAAAACTTCATCGAAAGTAACGAGGCCGATGCCCCTTTTAATAACCAGAGCAACAATTAATATAGGTACATGAAATGTCCGGGCATTATAGGAGACCGGAGGACCCGTCATATAACTGCGGAAATGAGATATAACATGGCATACACAAAGCTACATGGGTCTCACCGAATCGCACTACAGAGAACCAGATCGATCATATTTGCATCAGTAAAAAATTCAGAAGGTCAATGGAAGACGTGAGAACCAAATGTGAAGCTAACATAGCTTCTGATCACTACCTGGTGGTTGCCAAGATGAAACTGAAGCTAGAGAAACACTGAAAAACTCAACGAATTCTAGATATTTCTCAGCAATAATTTTCAGGCCTTACGAGATCTATTCATTCAAAGAAGAAACTACTGTGGATAACAATTGGAAAGGGATCGAAGAATCACTAACTTCAATGAGCCGGGTGGTGCTGGAACAATAAATACAGAAGCACCATCATGAAGAATGGATCTCTACGGATACTTTGGGCAAGATTTAACAATGGAAAGAGTGACAACAATTAAAAGCAGCCGAACAAGAGCAGAGAAATTCGATGCACAGAATCAAACATGAGAATGAAGAGGAGCATTAGAGCCAAAAAGCAGAAATATGTGGATGACCAAGCAGTGACAGCGGGAAACTCTGCAAGCGAGGGAAATATCCAACAACTATATGATAGAACGAAAAAAACTGGCAAGAGAATACAGTAAATCAACAAGCAGAAGGGAAGAAGCAAAGTCCTAAAATACAACTCAGAAATCACTAGTCCAATCACACTTGATGGAGAAGCTCTAGAAGAAGTGGAAATTTTTACGTACCTGAGCAGCATCATCGACAAACAAGGAATATATAATGCATATGTAAAGTCGCGGATTAGCAAAGCGATGGCAGCATTCCTACAAGTAAATAATATAAGGAACTCAAAAGAGTTGTCAGCCAACATCAAAACCAGAATTTTCAGTACGAACGTCAAGACGATTCTATAGTACTGAGCTGAAACGTTGAGGACCACAGCCATCATCAAAAAAGTGCAGGTATTTATAAACGATCGTCTACTCAAGATACTTCAGACCTGTTGGCCGAATACTATCACTAACAGTCTACTGTGGTAGAAAACAAACTAGGCTCCAGCTGAGGAGGAAACAACACTAAAAGTTGATAGGTCACACTTCATGAAAATCATCAAACTGCGTCATGACACGAGGTGATCTCTAACTTGGAATTCTTAAGGGAACAGGAAAACTGAGTAACACATTGTGTCGGGAATTGAAGGCAGACGTCGAAAGAATGCGTATCAATTGAAAACAGCTGAGAAGGAGAGCCTAGAACAGAGTTGGTTGGAGCATCCTGGTCGGTGGCCTATGCTCTCGCGAGGGTTAACAGTCGTAAGTTCAAAACTACATTCTACCAAATAGATCATGTTAGCCGTTTGCTGGTTCTTGATACCAGATTCATACTGAGATGTATATTGTTTGGCTTGGTAATTCATCATTATCCACCGTATATTTCACCCAGATATGTCATGTTGTTATCAGCCATTGTTGGATAGGGTCGATAACGGGCTAAAGCTCATATCCGTGCTTTTATGTTGTTGTTGAAGTATTACAAGTTTTTTATGATGTTGAAAGAAATATCGCGAGTATGCAAAGTGTTGGCATAACTCAATCCTCATATAAAACTAAACATTACAGTTTGATCTAAAAATGTAATTTGTATTAGTATTCTTATGAAATTATTCTAGTTGTATAGTAGCATAGTTTGCAATGCTGCCTTATTATATATATTGGAATATATTGCATAAACAATTTCCCACATTTTTTTAAAATTAAGGCTTCTGTTAATGTTCATTTACGCTTTGGATGGGCATGGCGCCGTAAAATATGCCCAGATGATACAATTTTAAATATAACGCCAAATCCAATTCGAATAAATTGTTACAGTCATTCAACTGGCTACACTTCCCTAGTTAACTCACCACCTACTTCTAATAATGATAATATTATTACTGCTACTACAAATACGACCCATACCGCTTGTCGTTTCTCTTTAACCGATCTAATTAATCAAGTTAAATGGAATACATCTAGTGGTCGTTTAACATCTGCTCAATTGGAGTTACATGTTTCCGCCACTGAACGACGTTGGTTAAAACGTCCCGATTTAAGTCATGGAGCAGTTAGTTTGAATGGAATTACTCCAAACATTTCAAACAACTTAACAAATCATATTGTTAATCATATAAACCATAACAATAATAGTAATAATAACCTATCCCAAAATTTGTCTAAAAGTGTTCATACTGATGGGAAAAACAACAATAGCCATGTAACATTTATCAATGGTAATCCATTGCGTAAAGGTGGTTTAAGTTCAAATTCCTATCCAGTTCAGTATGCTACAGCTCCATTACCTTTGATCGTATCTTCAATTGGTTTCGGTAAGTTATTAAAACTAATTTTATTATGTCAAATCATCTCGTTATATTTTTATCTTAATTTATGATAATACAAAGTTTCTTGCTACGTTTAGGTTTTTTTACTCTAATGTTTTACTTGTCATTCTTTCAATGCTTTATATTTCTCAATATAATTGATACTACATTATTTCAACTCGTTTACTATTCATTTTGTTAACATCATCTCATTGTGCTAATGTGATATGACAATTTCGGCCAACATATATATGAATTCATTATATTAAGGAAAGAATCGTATTTCTCACCGCTCTGTTGCTGTTGCACTAATATAAAGCTTTTTTGTCCTATGCTATCTTATCACTAACAGAGATCGAACTAAGTTTTAAAGAGAATACAGTATTGTGAAACTAGTAAACTACTGTGTTCATACGCTAAGCTACTCTTTCGTAAATCCAATTTCGATACAGTAAAAAACACTACTTCTATCCTCTTCTATGTCTCCGCTTATTAGAGTTAGAAGTCTAGTTCTGTGTAGAAGTTTTGTTGATATGAGCCCTCAGATGAATCAAAAATACACTTAACCAATTACACGTTATTACTATATAATAAGACTAATAAGTCTTATCTGTGCATTTGTTAATTAGGGTAATCCAAATAGGTTATTGAGTGTTGTTAGTTTTATACCTAACATTTTTATTTCTCAGTAAATTGGTAACATCTTTAGTTTATTCTCAAGTGGTCGTTTTGTCTGTCGAAGAAAAGTAATTACGAACTATAAAAACAGCGGGTTGGGGTGAATGATTAGAACTTTTGGATATTAAGCTCCAACTTAAGAAAATGATGAATGGATGCGTCTATGTCGATGCCACTGGTTTCAAGTAGTGTAACCTCAAGTATGCAATCATTGATTGTGATTATTTCACGAAACCTAAATATAAATCCAATGATTCATGGGACTGTGCGATGCAGTAGATGGTAGCTTCATAAGCTGACGGCTTGATATCTTGCTCCGGGGTTACATATGGTAGGTGTTATGTCCTTCAACCACGTACAAGACTCAACTGTTTCTACTTACCTGACCTCGCATATTTGGTATTACAACTGTGAATCATACTGCTTGCATATTTGAGTGTTTAGTTTTCAATTCTCGTGTACTTCACAAGAGTGAAATTTTAAAATAGCATTAAGTTTGGAAACGAAATATATATTCTGTCGGATTTTGATTGACAATCTCATATTCCCTATCCGATCAAGTCGCTTAGTGAAACGTAGAAAGATCACAACAGTTTAATTATTGAGTACGGTTCTTGTGATCTCAATTTAGAAATAAACAAGTTCTTCAGGTAGCTTTTACACTCTGAATTAATTTTGACTGATTTATGAGCTATATTAATCAATGGTCATCATTCTCAGTTGGTTTGCAGTTGATATTCAACTCGTTATTGTTGATTCTTGAGATGAGACAGTGCTATTGCATACTGATTATTGACGTGAATATTGAAATAGAGCCTGATAAGAACCCAATAATTAATGTTAATTGTTCTTTTGCAGACGCACATTCTCGCTGCTAAAAAGCCTTATTGACGAGTTCCAGCTAACATCAAAACCCCTAGGTCCAGTGCTCATTGTCGCGATTCCCTACAACCCCTCAACACTGAACAAAGCTCACCACGATTTCGAGTTTTCTCCAGACTAGTAACTATTGCCACTTGATCTGTAGAACTCAGCAATTAGGACTGAATTAAATGAGACTTCGTTATTATTGTGTTATTAATCATTATGTAAATCTTTCTTACAAGAGGTCAGTCGCAGCTCGGATATCACCTGGTGGTGACATTTGTCTGTAGCATGTGTTGGAAGCCTACGGGTAACAGTCTCTGAGACTACAGATAGGGCTTGTTAATAAGTCATGACCAACCTGAAATCTCCAGGTTCAGGGCTTCCTGTAGCTCATATCTTATCATCTAATGCTTGAATTTATTTTTTTCAACTCATTTACCAGATAGATAATTGTACACTTGGCTTCGAGCCACACTAAATATGAAGGCTAGTGATGCTACCCGGTTACCCAGATCGGAGTAGGCGGGACGGGGTTCAAACATGCGACCACTGAGCCACCTCTCCACACACTTTGGTATTACGTAGATATTCAAGAACCGGTCAGTCACCTAGATTTTCTAAAATATATGTAAATACAGATGAGTGTAACGATGCTAAATCAGGCTTGAAACATGTTCTGACTGTATAACCTGCAGAGTTCAACACTATGTTGCTTACAGTTTCGTGTTGATATTCGTTTACCCCCGCTTCGTTGTTTATATAATGAAACAATAATTAATATTTTTATATCCATCTATTATAGTAGATTTTAATTTGTTTTCATTTCTGTGTTTCGAAAAAATGGTATAGATAGTACCAGTACCGGTCGTCAACTGCTTCTGACTCCTGGTTTATATGAATTACGCCTTGGTGTAGACACGTCCGACGGCAATGGTAGTAGTGGTGGAGTGATGAATAAAGTTGTGCCATTAAAATGTTTAGATGACAATGTAAGTGAAAAGTCATATGTTTCGGCTAACAACGACCAAGCAAGTGACACGTGCTCTAGTCAAGTTGAATGGAGGCGCATTCGGTTTCCTAATTCTTCCACGGCACTAGACGAGTATTCTCGATGGCCTCGTCTTCGGTTTTCTGTCATATGGCATAATAAATTGGAAAATAATCAGATCATTTCACCTTGTAGATCGATGGAAACTCGAAGACAAGATAATACCCATGTACATATGGAGGGTCGATCCTCTCTTACACGTTCCATGACAAGTTCTCATAATCGAGATGTAATCAAGTCTCAAAATCAGTCTGCCACACCGCATAAACAAATAGTTTTGAAGGAGTCTTGCGATTCTTCTGTATTCAAGGATTCAACCGGTTTAGATAAATGTCTCTCTAATCGTGTGCAACAAAGTCTCTCTGCTCATTTTGGACCAGACGTTGATAAGCCCACGTCTACGAAGACGCCACACTTAATTCATCCAATCACATACGGTTTTGTATTCGGGGGTAATTTACAACAATGGTCTCAGTCCACTGATCTTGTTTGTCCATGGTGCCACTTAGATTGTGCTCGTGCTGGTGATAAAGGTCCTGAAGCCTTAATTCTTCATCTTCGAACTTGTCATCCAAGATTTCGTCTCAAGGTTATATGGAATCCATCACATACACAGTTAAGCCTACAAGTTTCATTAAATGAAGCATATGACGGTTCAAATGATTGTGGTATACGTAGATGGTGTCCGAGCGGTCGGAATATTTTCGTTTTACGACATCATGTCATTCCATCATCTGGTCAGTTAGTCGGTAGTTGTGCTGCCCTAGGTATAAATAGTAATGCCAAACAGTCAGGTAATCAAGGTCGTCATTCTATTTCTCCAACTCTGATTGATGCCACTGTTCGAATTCGTTGTCCTGTTCGACGATTGCCGTACACACATTTGATATTTTGGCGTGGTGCTGAATTATCAACTGATCAGGTCAGTAATGGGCCTTTCTGCATAATTTTATTATTTTTCTATAGATTCCTTTGAAACTATGTTGATAGTGCATGAAAAATAGACTATTATTATTATTATTATTATTATTATTATTATTATTGATTTCTCTGAAAAAATATGTGTATTAATCCAGCTGTGCTACTAAAACCAAACATTAGTCGACGAAATAACGTGTTACTAATTGGGCTATCAAATGAGTAGTATTGTATTCCTATGCTCTTCTCACAAAAATTTAAATAACAAATTTGTGTGAATCCAAGTGATGTACAGCTAACTCAGAAGTCCACCACAATCAATTAGTCATGTGCAACTTAGAACCTAATACTTATGTGCATCGGTTTAAGTTGTAATACCACATAAGCACAATGAGATAAAATTATCGAGACTTACTTCAGAGCAGTAGAATTGGAAACAGTATCAGTAGTCGTAGAAAATATTAGGTGCAGAAAAATAAAAAATAAAGTATAGGAAGATTTCGGGAAGCAGGTTTTGAGGGAAGATAGAGTGAATGCACCTGCTTTATTGCAAACAGTTCTTAGCCATATCACCCGAAGTCTATAGCCATTAATTACGATAATTAGACCGATTCCAATTAGGTTGTTTGCACTTATTAACATGCCTCAGACCAGTTATCAGTGACTTCACAAACTAGTGCCACGTCTTGGTTTGGACTCCCCTATCTTTGTTCCAGCCTACTCTTAAATCAGCAAATATCTCGCATTAAGGTAGGCGTTAATTAAAAATACGCAATGCATGTCCCAACTACCTCAGTTTATAACTTACCACATCAATCCATTTGCCATTTTTTCGTTGTACTATATGCCTAACCTCAATATTTCTAACTCAATGGTCCCAAAATACGCTAGCGATGCTTTGTAGGCATCTAAGATTAGACACTAGTAACCTATGAATATCCTCTATTCTTATTGGTCGTGCCTCATAACCATAAAGTAGAACTACTGTGTAGTAACTTTTTCATGTGATTGGCAGATGATTATCTCGCTCACATCAAAAGTGACTTTAGTTGGTCAAAGGCGACCGATATTTTTCAATCCACGCCGAGATTTCCCCAGACACTATCCCATCAGGGGTGAGAGACTCCCACGATAAGTGAAGCGGTCGGCTCACTCAACCACTTCACTCCCTGTCATTAGCTTAGATTTTGATGCAGTTGAGTCCTGAAACATTTTGTGTTTAGAGGTAGAGAATCACATCTCAAACATGCTTACACTTTTGCTTAAGACCATTAGAAGACCCTACATTTAATCAGCTCTTCTCCAAATACGACTATCATCTGCATATTTTAAGTTAAGAAGTGAGCATCTGGTAAGGAGATCAACCGCTGGAAAGCTAAATATGGGGAGTATTATTTCTAGGAGAACATCTACAACGAAGTTTAATGAAGATGGAAAAATTAGGTAGCCCTAACGAACGCCACGAGGTTGAAAATTCTGTTAACAGTTCACCATAACCTCTGACTCCACTGAGAATGTTCAAGTAGAAAGCCTGTGCAAAGTTGATATACTCATTTGGTACGCTTCTTAATGACGGACGCTAACACAGAATCTCTCAATCAACAGGGTTGGATGCTGCCTTAAGGTTAAAAAATACAATAATAGTCAAACTTCAAGAAGTACGTTCATGTTCCAGCGTCTAACTAAGGGCGAACATTAGGCTGATACATCCACACCGAGGTTAGAAACTGGCCTGATTTTCTCATCTGAGCGTAATTGCAACAGACGGTCGCCATTGTGTTCACCGAGCTGCAACTCCGTAAGATATACAGAAGTACCTTTCGGCTTGGTTTACTCTACATTCTTGGGCATTATAACCACCAGACACTATTATATCCGAGAGTTTAACTTTCCCGAAAGAGGTTTGAAAGCTTCATATAAAACTCATTACGCTTTATTCCAGCCTCAAATAGTGGGAGCGTAGATAGAGATAACGAATAGGCAACGGCGTCTATCTCGACCTCTTCGAGTCCTTACAGTTTCGTTTAATCTGACTGTACAAGCAACTGTCCACTGGAATGCGTGATGATAAAGATATGCGCAAACGGTTAGTCGTGGGATAGGAGAATCAATACTAGGTGATGAAGGGATTTGATCATGACCGTTGTTGCTACCTTGACGTGGTGGTCGGGCTTGCCTATCGTGATGAAGCAATCGAGCTATACTGGCTGGAACAACTGTTCCTCAAGGTCCTACCATGTCAGACAGGTCGGCTGAAGAGCGGTAAGACTAAAAGCAACAAACCCAAGGTCCGAAGGCGAAGTCGTACTGCTGACTGTACAGAGGTGTGACAGCAGTAAGGTGTTTCCTTCAGACAACCAGCATAACAGCGATGCTACCTTCTCACAAGAAGGGGTGGGGTTAGAAAAGGTCGACCCTAAAAATGCACACCTCGCCTTATCCCACGGATATCCGTCTCCGGCGGTAAGGTCCCAAAAAGTACGGAGCTAACACAAAAATTACCCATAAAAAGGTCGTGTGTGACCGACCTCAAGCAGTTGTCCCTTGGGCACTGCGGTCACGCTCTCAGGTCACTAAGACCACCTCTAATCCAATTTCCTTTTCAGGTACCTCCAGAACAACCCTTCCACGGCGTGGACAACCGGGAAGTGATAACCGTCCTCATACCTCTAACAGCACTCAAGACCACTGTATTCCTAATCAACCTCCGTCTTCACTTCCTATTACTCCTCCTACATCGACTTTCACCTCTAAACTTCCTTTTTCGGTTTCCTCTTCAAATGTCACCATAGCCAACGATTCTAGTGCTCAAAACACTGTCCCAGGTCTACTGAAACCTCGCTCCAAACTACACACTGGAGCCTTCAACGTACGCACCCTATGTCAAATCGGCTTCAGACCTGGTCGTGGCTGCATCGACCACATATTCACCATTCGGCAGGTTCTAGAACATAGGCATACTTATCGGCGTCCGACAATCGTGGTCTTTCTTGGCTTGAAAGCAGCATTTGACTCGGTAGACCGCGAGATTCTGTGGCAGTGTATGTCATTGAAAGGCGTACCTCAGAAGTACATAAACCTTGTGAAGGCTCTTTACTCGAACACTACCAATCGAGTCAGAGCTTATGGCGAACTGTCATCTGCTTTTTCAACCTCAAGTGGTGTCCGTCAAGGCTGTCCATTTTCTCCATTTTTGTTTAACTTCATCATAGACTTATTGATGGAAATAACATTCTCGTCTACTGAATTCTTGGGTATTGATCTCCTTCCATGAGGTCCACTTATCGACTTAGAATACGCAGATGATATAGTCCTGTTTGGTGAAGACGCTGATAAAATGCAGAGTCTTTTGATAGCACTAAGCAACAATGCCAGAATGTTTGGAATGCGCTTCTCTCCCTCGAAATGCAAGTTGTTGCTTCAGGACTGGTCTGCGTCAACACCTGAACTAAGGATAGGGAGTGAAGTAGTCGAACGCGTCGACAACTTCACTTATCTTGGAAGTCTGATCAGCCCTAATGGGTTGGTGTCTGACGAAATCTCAGCACGGATTCGAAAAGCTCGTTTGGCTTTTGCCAACCTACGTCACCTATGGCGAAGGCGAGATATCCGTCTATCAATAAAAGGACGAGTATACTGCGCGGCAGTCCGTTCTGTGTTGATTTACGGCAGCGAAACATGGCCATTAAGAGTAGAAGACACTCGTAAGCTACTAGTATTTGACCACAGATGTCTCAGAAATATTGCTGGCGTCTGTTGGGATCACCGGGTAAGTAATAGTGAGGTTAGACGCAGGGTATTAGGGAATGATGGTAAATCAGTTGATGAGGTTATGAATCTTCATCGACTGAGATGGTTGGGCCACGTGTTACGTATGCCTGAACACCGATTACCACGACGTGCAATGCTATCCGGTATTGGAAATGGTTGGAAGAAAGTTAGGGGCGGCCAAACCAAAACGTGGCATCAGTGCTTGAACTCACTAACTTCTAGTCTGAGCCATGTTGGTAGATGCAGACTACTTGGTTGGGGTCCGTGTGACTATCGTAACCAATGGTTGGAGACTCTTGGTGACATGGCTCAGAATCGATCACAATGGTGTCGGTGTATACACTCCCTGTCTTCCCTTAAACTAAGAGATTAAAATCGCTTCATATCTTTCTTTCTACGAACCAATTCTTTCTTCTTGTACTATATCTCTATATGCAATCTTTCTCCTACATATTACTACCTTTGACCTAACCACTGCTATGAATCCGGTGTTCATCTTGTTGTGCTGATGCGGTATGGCAACCTGGACCGATGCACATATGTGCCTGGTCCTACGTTGTAGCTGACTGACTGACTGAATGATTTACTTGTAATACAATTAGTAGTTTACATAACTCGATATCGTGTGAACGTTATAGTTTGTAAGTAGATCACTTTCGCTATATCGATCTAGTGGCCTGGGAACATTACCACATAGCCCAAGAGAAAAATGTTTGAGATCGGCCGTCCATGGTCTCTTTATGGGAGGTTTTTGATTTATTAGCTCCGTACTTCAAAAGCCCTTACTATCCGAGACAGAAATCCGTGGGGTAAGATGACGTGTGACATATTAGGGTCAATCTTTTCCAGCCCCTTTTTTCCTTTGTGCGAAGACAGCATCGCTGCAGATGCTAGTTTTTAGAGGAAAACACCTTGCTGCCGTCACACCCTTCTACACTCAGTAGTACAATTTCATATTAGGTTAGTGCTTTAATACTCACCGTTCCTCGACCAACCTGCCTGTCATGATTGGACCTCGAGAAGGAATTGTTTCAGATAATATAGTTTGATTGGGACTTCGCGATGAGCAAGCCCAGCCACCACGTCAAGGTAGGAGCTACAGTCGGGAATCATAGATATTAAATATATTTTATAACTTTCTCCGAGTGAACTTTAGTGTTCCTCACTACTGTTAAATGACTCTCAATTTAAACTATGAATATACACTCATGTATTCAGCTTCATGTTCGGTTTATGTGTACTTTTTAGTTTCGGTTTTCTCGTGTTCCAAGTACAGGGTTTCTTAGCTCACAGAAGGCAAGGCAGTTGAGCAACGTTGACAGATGCCTTCCCATGGTAGCCGGTGACCAAGAATATGTCCATACGCCCTTTGTTCCCTCAGGATCCTGGAACCCATGTGCACATTTGGTGTGGAAACAGAGTTTTCCGACTCTCCTTTGTGGACCCTCCGTATCCACCAACCCGAATAAAGCACCGGACATTTACGTTTCATCCTCTCAACTTCGTAAACAACACCCGCCACAAAAAGGCAGTGAGTAGGACTTCACTGGTAGTGGCTGTATTCGCATGTCTATGTGAGAGGATTTTGAGAGGGAGAGCTGACTCCCCTTTCTTAGTATTTGAGAGCAACCTGTTATCCTACATAAAATGTCATTGTCTTCATGTAATTGATTATCGGTGTGTCGTACTGATACCCTCATAACTTAAAAAAGTTAGCGACTATATATCTGGGCTCATTAGTAGGTTACTGAATCACCACAGGCACTGGTTTTGAGTTTCAGTGTGAACATCTACACGGATCTATGTAAATAGAGCTGATGAGCCCCACGTAAGACGAAACCTGCACTCTGGATTCCATTACTAGCTAAATCCATACTAAATATACTAAAGTTCTTAATAAGAACAAATCCCGACAGGCTGGCCAATCGCAGTCCCCAAATACCAAGACATCGCGAAATTATTGATCCGTACCAAAAAATTCTCGTGTCAACACCGATTACATCAACATATTTCTTATTTATATTGTTTTAATCAGGCCAATTTCCATAAAGTTTATTATTCTGTTACTGTCTAAAACAATACCTGTGCTATTTCTCGTTTTTTAGTGTTCCTAATTTAATGTTTTTTTCTTTGTTTTTCACTTGCTTATTCCCGCACACACACGTGTGTGTACCTAGTTACTTGATCCTACATTATCGGTACGACCTATGGTCACTGGACATAATCGTATTTATTATCATACACGTACATCTCAGCCTGTTCGTGCTTGTGAATTTGATGTGGACTCTGAAGCGGAAGATGCTCCAGTCTGGCTTCGTCAACATTATCAACGTAAAGTGGAGGAGTTCACCGATGTGAATCCGGTCAGTGTTTTTTCTCACTTCCTTTCTATGTACTTTCAAAGCGTTTTCTGCCTAATACCATCGTAATAAATCTATATTAGACAGAAAATGAGGAGACACGCTGCTATTGTTAAGCCATTCTGGACTGTTGATATTATTTTTTTTGTATAGCTTGGTATGAATTTATGACTACCTTGTCACAATAATTGTTCTATTGTCTCCCTGTCTGTATAGAATTTGAGATAACTGTAATATAAGTACAAAGCACTAACAAATTTTCACGCCAAGAATTTTATTATTTTAGCACAGTGTGTGTTGTTGTGATGCAAATGAATCTAATGTGTATTTGATACATTTTAATTGTGGTTAAATGCGTCATCATATTTCAGAACTGGATAACAACAGCGCCTATTTCATTTAAAGGTGAGCTCAGTTATTCCACAACTATTAAATCGATTGGCTCTGATGCATTTGGTTGTCTTCATTTTTCCTGTTATTTGAGTTGACTATCTTGTTCGCTTAATCTGTCACCATATGTTTGATCAATGCTTCAGATTCGGATACAGAGATTTAAAGTAGCAGTTAAGCGAAGCTATGTTATCACTGATATCAGTGCACGTAGACAATCACATATGAATTCAATTGGGCCAACTTCAGAATTGTGGACCAAGAGATTTCTAAGGCCAGTTTATTTCTAAAAGTATGATATCAATTGACTTATGTATTCATTCTGTCAATCTTTTTGAAAAGGATTGACCAAGTACACACAGTTAGTGATCAGCTGATTGAGACAGTCAACTTGATTACAATGGTAAATGATGGCTACAAACACACACAAATCGCAAACAAGAATATCAAAACAAACTGCTTTAAACGTTATGAAATAACTGAAAAGCTCACTTTTATATGAATGGCAGTAAAAAACTGCAATTTAAACCATCTCATTCAGCTAACTCAACAACACTAAAATTGTTCACTTGAACTGTATATAGTCACTATCATTTCGATATTGTCTGTTAGTGATAGTGATATAAATTGTTCGATGAATTATTATTTGTTTATATCCTAGTTCTAAATCGTTTATGCAAAAACTATTGCTGGATATTCAAGCAATAATTTGATGAACCCTTTCAAAATATTTAAATTGTAAATTGATTTGAGAAAAACTTGTGTGAATTTTTCTGATCCAAATCTCATTGTTAGTTAAATGTGGAATTCTTCATTCCACTCTTATATTGTTTATTTATTTATTTATTCAGGGTGAAAAACAAATTATGCAATTGTGGAATGCTTTACTACTATCAATTCGTCCATCCGGTTTAGTAGTTTGTGACAGTCAAGTATTAACATTAGTCTGTCAATTTATACATCAGCATAGTCGATGGATTCATAGACGACGTCTACGTACTAATCTATTGTTACATTTAGTGAATCTTGTTGATTATGGCTTATTATCATCTAGTCAATTGCGTCAATTAATGTTAATTCATGATAAACATGTACAAGAATTAAATCCAATCAACAATACATCAGTGATTAATAATCACATGATTAATACACAACCATTATCATCTCCATCAAACGCTTCAACAACATCTTTCTTACCCGACTCTAAATTAGTTAATCATCATATTAATAAGTCACAACCAATTATGCCACGTCTTCTTCAAATGTTCTCTTCAACATCTAATTCATAGTGCAAAAAAAATTCAATGCTGCTTACACTCTTGTTTCCCAATTTGTATACTCCTCCCCTCTATGTATGTATGTATGTATGTATGTATGTGTCCGTGACATTAATACTTAGAATAGTTCGAGAGACGGATGTGTGTATGTATGTGAATTGATGCATTTTTTATTTACAGATGTTTCCGTATAGGCCAAATAAATTGTTTTTTGGATTTTTAATTTTCTTTTTTTTGTACAATGAAATCACACAGAACAGTAATTATTCTTACACAATAAGTATGTCTATGTGTACGTTTCTTCTCTCCTTAGAATTATGCTCAATTTTTTTCCACTTTTCATCTTTCCTGTGTGTTTTGTGTAGTTATTCAGTCGTGTAAAACCTCAACACCATTTTGATTGTTTTGTATTTTTACAAAAAAGAATTTCTAGATTTTACAAATTCCCAGGGTCTATATGTTTGTCTATAAACTTACGTACATACAACTATATGTAATTATTAACGATAATGTGACCGTTTTAATTTTATAAGCTATTTGTATTTCTGTAGTGTATACAAGTGTTCCTTCCACTCCCCCTTCATTGTTGTTCATTTATGGAATATCACTTTTTCCATTCAACAACTAACTATCCTCAGGGGACGTTCATCAGCTTGGTTCCTGGTAGTGTTTTTGGTTCTTTCTGCTCTTTCATTATAATATATATATATGTGTGCTTTCTATTCAACTATAATCTGTCTTTTCTAGCCTGTTCGTGTGCATGTATACACATACGTTTGTGCCATGCATATTATTTCGTCAATTGTAATAACAAAACTCTAAAAGTCTGTGCCTTCTTCATATTGATGATGAATTTCTAAAAAAATGATGAAGAGCAGTCTCATATTATCATTATCACTAGTATTATTATTATTATTATTATTACTATTAATAGAATTATTCTTATTAAATTTTGTTTTCAAGAATACAAATGTACCATGTATGTATGTTTGTATAGGTATTCAACAACTTTCTTGTATATTACAATTGTTTATCTGTTCAATTATGATTGTTTTCTACTCTCATGTATAATTCAACTGTGAGGTGAAATGTGTAATGTAAAGAAGATAAGCGTAAAAATAGTCAAGTTCAAAAGCTCATTTATATTGACAAGTGAAACTAATGTAATTACTATTATTATAATTATTCTCTAGGTAGGATTTTTATTGTCCATTTATGGTTATTATGATTACTATTATTTTTAATTTTTTGTAGTAAGATATCTTCGTTTTTTTCCTGCTCTGAAATTATCAGAAGTGCAAAGTATAGTTTAATGAATGACTGATTTGTTTAGTCGTATTTTTCTCCAGTCTAATTCAATGAACAATGTATATTATTATATCATCAAAAATATTTTTCTATTACTACTATTATGTAATAACCGGTCACTGTCCTCGTTGTTGTTGTTGTTTTCGCTGTTGTTATGATTGACTCAGGCTGGTTTGTGTTTCGCACATATTATGATTGATCTTATCACTTTTTCTACTTCTACTCAACAACTATTAGTTCAGTTAAATTTTTTCCGACTTAACATGTAGCTATGATTTTCTCTCTCTGTGTGTATGTACGTTTTCCTTAGTATACAGGATGAGTTTATTTTCGTTTCGATTAGATTTTGGTCTCGAATCCCTTATTTTGGTTTGCTTATTTAGTTTGACTATTCCAGATGATGACGACGCGTTTCATTCTTTGTGTTTGTATGTGTGTATGTTTTAGGAATATTTATTTGTCTCCCTGTCCCTCCTCCCTCTGCTTATGATTATAGGAGTTTTTTGTGGCGCATTGAATTGTGCGAACACTTATTCTTGTATGATTTGTTAATTAATTTTGTCCTATGTATTTAGGATTTATACATGTAATACGTATTAGCTTTAATTGTCATTTACACAACTGATGAGTAAATTTTTCTACATACACATATATACTTAAATATTTATTTACTGTAATGCCATCTTCATGTTTGTATGTGCTTTCTACATTCTATGCTCATTTCTTTCTTTTTCATACAATCATCTTTGTTTATCTATTCGCAGGAAATTGACTCCTGATCTTGTCCTATTTTACATTCTTCTGGCAGCTACCTGTTCCTTTGTGTGTATATGATACGACCATGTTTGTGCGTGCATACACACACGTACAACATTCTTTTGATATCTGTAAGGCTAATGTTTCCTTTTTGAGATATTATCCCTCTATGTTTGCTTATCGAGAAAGTTTTGTATGTATCTGTGTATGTTTGTAATCGTTCCATCTCAATTACCCTTTACATTTTATACTTTTTTCAATATAGTAATAGTAACAATTTTTTGTAAAAGATGTTTCCATCTACTTTTTTATACCCAAACGTATATATATGTTTAGTTATTAAGAAGAGTGCTTGATGCACTGTATAGGCTTTTCCTATTTCAAAATAAAAATTTCTTCTAATTATTTATTCGCATTTGTTCTTGTCCATAGTTTTATGCTGTGATTGTTTTTGCCTCATGTTCGTACTGTTGTCATGTACGCTGTTGTTGTTTAATGATAATGATTTAACTTCCCTAACGTAGTAGTTGTCCTGTTTTCGCTTACCTTCTAAATATTTTTCTACGAAATACCATGTACTCACTAGTGACCAGCTTTAAAGGAAGCTCTATTGAGAAGCCGTGACTAATGTAGTTCGACCATGTTGAATGTGAAAAGGTTACCCACCGACGACAGTGATAGATAGTCATGCAGTATCGCAGATTAGTTGGAGTCATATTTATACACCGTCACTGCTAGAGATCTTGCTTTCTTGTACGAAACCGAATGTCTTGGTTCTGATCCCTGGTTGCGGGGTCGTGGGTGCACACTGATAAATTCCATACTAGAACTAAACGGTAGTCCAATACCACCAAGTTTTCAGTGATTGTCTAACACAGATCTATTCATAATGTCGATATAATAGTTGGGGTTTTCGAACAACTAACACTTCCATCTTTTGTGTTAGTTGCATTAAACAAACAATCTGCTCGTTGTAGATAAAAATGGACAATCTAGTGTTTTTGTATCATGATAGCTGAATAGATATATTTCAATCAATCGCAGATATTGTGAAAGTACTTTAGTCCAAGCTAAGTTGAGTAAACTAAATAACTAAAATGTCAGTGATGAGAAGAATTTTACCCATTATTTTTCAACAGTACTTGAATGAATGAAATAAAGTTACTTGTGTTTTTTTAATTCTAAAAATTTCTGTAAACTATGTCTTATCAACTGCTTGTCTATTGATGCATATGCAGAAGACTATTTTCTGAGAACTTTTAACGTAGTCTATTAAATATTAGGGCATTACTTCGAAATTTTAGTGTTTTGTCGAGTAGCACTTGTTGAAGTGAAAAATGTCATTTTAAAAGACATCAACTTGACTATAGACCACTAGATTTGAGAATCATTCCTAAATACTGTCGATTATAAATGAATTGTATTACGAACTCATTACTCTCGATCGTTGTGTATTCCACTGCTTCACTCTTATATATGGATGCCCTATTTCATAAAACTAGTTACGTTAACGTTGATTATACAGCTGGTACACTTAATCCTTTAAATCCATTCCCTCGTTTTATAGTTTGATATGATATTCACAGTTACTTTCCCATTCTGTATGTTGTGCGATTGTACATTAGAAAAATAAACTCAAAGCTGTATCCCTTCATAAATAAAGTTCTTGTTTAACTACTAATATTTTTTGCTGTTGTGTTCCAGTTTCTGAGATAAATATGACTAATCCAATGAACGATGAATCTATTTGGGATTCTGGTGAAGATGAGTCCGTAATAGATCCTGAGGTTCCCATTGGTATGTGTAGTTCCTACAGCTTAGATTTCAGCAGTGTGTCATTTAGTTTTATTTTCGTTTACCCAAGCCATTGGTTGTTTTTACACACTTGATTGTAAAAACGGTATTTATTTCCTATTCCTCTCACCTTGAGCTCGATACAGAATTCCGAAGTTATCATTATGTCCAAGCATATGTACATACGAATAAAGAATATAGTGTAGTTTTTGCTAAGCGATTTCAATTTTCCGGGCACTTCGACGAATCCCTTATTATTGTGTATAAAGTTTTATATTTATTGCTTATGGTTTGATGTCTTGTTGAAAAAAGTAAGGTGTGATATACTACATATTTTGACTAGTTTACCGAAACAAGTATCTGTTCTCAGAATCTGTCCTACCCACTATTTATTTAGCCGTAATATCAACTCGGTTCGATCTAGTTCTATCCATTTTGTAGAAACTCATTGTTGCTATTTAAAAATGAGCTATCTGGATGACCTTTTCCGTTATGTTGGCGGATGCAGACTACCTGGTTTAAATCCACACACTAGATGTAATGAGTTGATGGAGACGTATGATTTCATTCAATATCAGTCCCTGTGGCATTCACTTTTTACCTCCCATTAGATTCTTCAGTTCCAGTATATTCTTTCATGCATACCCTTTCATCCTGTTTTTTTCCAACTATACTTTCAATGCTCAATTTTTCTCATTATCATTTTTAGTACGATTATTTTGATCTCTTAAAATTCATCAAACCGTATCAATGCAGTATGACTACTTAGTCCAACATATTTGCGTCAGACTGTACGTCGATTATGAATACGTTTTAAAAAGAAAACACTAATTCTCGAAATTGGCAACAAATATGTAGGCGTCCGTGCCATCGGTAAGGAATTGAAATAAACATTAACTTTACTCTCAGTTTTTAACTAAATATGGGCGTAAATCTTCAGAGGACAGTTTTCGTTTTGTTAGCGATAAAGGTTTGTTGATTACTGAAACTGCTCTTCTGTTAAACTCCGGAACGTGATTATTTAAGGTTATTTAGCATAGCATCAGTGAGATCTCACGTAGCTAGACTGGATAGGTATCTTTTCTAAATTCTCTGTCAATGTCAAAAGTTAGAGTGCACGTATTCATATATTATTGTATTGTCCGATATCTCAT